AGCTGGTGATGGCAGCGATGTCTGAACTGACAGAAGATATGCGTATTTTTCATGCAAGTCAAGACACAAAGGAGAAGTAAATTCCAGTGTTCCCAAATACAGATGTTCATAAGCCTAGAAAAAAGTTAGTACTCAGGTAGGAAGGGTATCACAACTTCTGTAATGCAACAACAATTCTTCCCTCAGCTGCACTGTGAAGTAACAACATCTGTCATCAGGGTGGCAGCCCACAATCCAGCTGTGTCTGACTATTTCCCTTGTTGCCAACTGTGACAGTGCATGCGCCCAGCAAGTTTGATATGCAGATATACAAGACTTCCTTTTTAAGACTCTCTGCAGCAACCATACACAGTAAATAAAAGCAGCTTACAGTGTAGATATTTACAGCTGAACTAAACAAAAAATAAATAAATAATCTTACAGCCAGAAAGACTGAAATGGGTATTTCTTTGGTTGAGATTCATCTGAGCCGCTTTAAACATTTATTTTAGGATGAAACGAATTATGATGTAGAGATGCATACTTCTCCCCATTGACTATAACAAGAGCATAAGGTGATTAGTTCAGGTGCAGACACCTACCTGTAGACATTTATTTTCAGTTGGATGAATCTTAGCTATGTCTAATGTACCCTTTCCATTCTGCACAAACCTCTGTTACACATGGTTTAGTCTCTTTCCTCAGAAATTAAGTTACCGGTGATTTGCTGTGGATCCTGAATAATACTGTAGGGGTACATATTTTGTGCTACATAGGAGAGAAAGAGAGTTCAAGGACCAGAACCAGCACCATACAGGTGTCCTGGTTGTGCTCTGGGCCACTCCAACTAAACCTCTCCATTACAAATCAGATACAGAGAGGCTACACCTGAGCTGCAGGAACATGAGACCCATAAACACTGTGAAAGCCATGTGAACAGGAGACTCCCTAAGCCTTGTGAACATCAGCCAGTCTGTGTATCTTGACTTTTTGCTCTTGACATAGCTTCTGCCTCCTTGGACACATGCCAATTCAAATGTTGCAGAGTACCAACTCCTTCAAGTTCCCTCAAGACCCTTCCCTTTTCTAGAATAGGGTCCTGTAATGGACTGGAAGTCCCCTCTGGGTGTACTCAGCCAACAGCTACTGCCTGAATGGTGCCAAGTGCTGACTGTTCCCCAAAGAGAGCAGCTTTGTCCACAGTTTCTTCAGGGATTTTCATTAGTGCCATTATTACTATGCCTTTGTGAGTGGCTCCAACAGTCCCTTTTGATGTAGCTACAGGCTAAGGAACCCCTCACCAGCAAATATACCAAGGCTGCCCACAATATTTACACAAATAGTATAGCTATTTTTCAACTCTCTAAAAGCCAAATGTAGACATCAATGGAAACAGACTCTGCTGACCACAATGAACTTTGTATTAGGACTTTCAAATTTTTTATGAAAGGATCGCAGAACCTTTTATAGCAAAGGTATCCCACACACTCGCGCTATTAGCTTAGATCAGACCCTATACTGATTTTAGTTACTAAATACACATATGTGGAAAATAATCATGCCCGCCTCCCCTGCTGATATAAAAATAGGTGCAATCAAAGATCATAAATAGTATCCTGAGCAAAAGAAGTAAACACTACTTAAAATAATGGAATACATTACAGAAAACAGTAATTTAGAGTTTTATAATTCCTTTCTTTTTCAAAGAAATAATTATATACACTTCACCATCTTCAGCATTATTAAAGATGTTACAATTTAAGATAACTTTCATTAATAAATCACAGTACTACTACAAAGTGTTATTAATAGTAGCTTTAGACAGCAGTCTGGGAAAAGAAACAAGAAAGAAGGCATATGATGCTGCTTCTACTCCAGCATTTCCAGAAAACATATATTTTAAAACTATTTTACAGGTTAAAATACTGATAATTCTATAATTGTTTCTTTAGTAATACTGTGAAGTAATGTCTTTGCCATCTTTATTGTATTTTTTGAACTACATAACAATAATTATTTAAAATTATATCAGTCACATTGCATTTAAAAATATAGAGTCTGAGTCCCTAATAAATTCTTCTGGTTTTTCAAGTAACACAGATAAAATTAACTTTGCTAATCTTGACTTGTTTTATTGTACCCTTATGTACAATTTCTACCCTTCTCTCTTTTTAAGTACGGAATCTATACAGTGGAAAGTGTTAGGCAACCTTAACTATAGTTATTGCTGCCAACTCTTCCTATAAAAGTTAGGGTGAAATACTGGTATAATTAAAATTGATGGCAGTGCTCACACTGATTTCAGAGAATGAAAGAAAAGAGAAGAAATGCTTCCTGAAATATAGTAAAGTCCCCACAATAAAATTTTATGTTGACATGGGAATCACTGGTAATAAGATTTCAGGAAATCCTACGATTAATATATTATAGGGAAAATACATATATAAATGTGTATATATATATGTATATGTATGTATATAAAGATACAGGTAAAAAGTCCAAATGATAGGATTTCTCTTAGATATGGGTCTATCTTTTTAATCAGTGCTAGCAACACTACAGAAGAATGTTTGGAAGGGGAAAAAAAATGAAGTACAACTTATTTAGCTGGAACCACGAGGAAAGTATTAACCACTAAAGCACATACTGTAATTCCATTACTTAAAATGTTTTCAAGGGACCTCTATTATTGTTGCAAAAGTGCCACGGGATCTTATCATTAAAAGATAAAAGAGCAGCTGAACCACAGTTCTCATCTAACAGCAAGAAAGATCCCAGTCTTCAAAGATTTATGTACACAGTTAATTTTATGCAGCAGGAATAGTCTTGCTTCAGACCACAGAACTTTTCAAAATGCTTAAAATTAGACATAATATATGTAACTCATCATGGAGTTGAGACCTACAGCCTAACTTGGAAAGCCATAACGAATATACTTTTCAAATTTAAAAAAAAAAATACATGTTCCTTCACAAGAAAGTATCAGTTTTGACCTGCACTTTTTTATTCACATAAAAGCAGTATTTCAACAGTCTGCATACCATTTCTTTTATGAATATTTACCCCCAAAATGTCACTGCCAACTTCAAAACTGTATTTTAAAATCTTTCCAATTATATTACTAGTATCTTCAATTCTCAAATGCATTATTTTAAAAATAAGGATTCTGCTTTCAACTTTTTTCTCTGATTTTTCAACTTGACTTAAAAAAGTAATTCTTCTGAAGTGTGAGGGAACTTGTTACATATGGCAGCAAGGTGTTTTTCAGCTAACTACATAGGAACAGTGTAGGAAGACAATTAGTGTGTTAAAAAGGTCAATATAGATTAATGCTATGAGAGGTATTTGGGGACACATATCTTAGATAAATTTTAATTCTTTTCCTTTTAAATGGACTCTATCACGATAAGCTTTCAAGTATCTTCAATAAGTTGAAAATATTTTAAGATAAGCTGTATTTACGGCCTAGCTCCTAAATGCAAAGATTGCTGGTTATTTATGAGCTGAACAGTTTTATCTAGCCACAAAATGTTCACATTTCAGTCTTACTAGTGGATGTTGTTGACTGTCTGGTAATTAGTTCCATTTCCATCATCTCTAAAACCTATAAAATAACTGGACTTTCTGTAAACTAACAGCATATTGTCATCTTAAGGCTTCTTCATCAGAGGAAGGTACTTCAGCTTCCTTGAAACTGATCTCTCAACTGTTTGTTGCTTGTTTTTTTTTTTCTTGTGGAGGATCGATAGGTAGAAATTACAGAAACATTCCGGGTCAGGTTGGACAGGGCTCTGAGCAACCTGATCTAGTTGAAGACGTCCCTGCTCATTGCAGGAGGGTTGGACTAGATGACCTTTAAAGGTCACTTCCAACCCAAACTATTCTATAATTCTATAAATAATAGTCCCTCTAGCATACAAAGCAGCTTTGGAAGTCCCTGAAGTCAACTCCCAACCTTTACCATAAACAACCGCGGTACAGGACCTCTGAGACTCTGGACAGAGATCAAAGCATCAGCCAGCCAACTTTGACTGTCCAGTTTTACCCAATCACCCTGTAGTTTCCAAAGTGCACTAGAATTATTTTATTGCTTTTAACAAAACTTGTCTTCCTTGTGCTTACATCCTTATCTCCTTCCCAGTATATCCTTGTAATCACAAGAAGACAGACTGCTCTCACATCCACTGAAGTAAAATGCAAGTGATACTCTTAAGAGGACCAATGTAATTCTGAAGGGGCTAAAGAAGGCCTGGCTTTGGGAGACCTTCTGTTTCAGTCTTCTGTCTGACTTCGGGCAGAAGTGAATCTGTGGCCCCGTTCTTCATCTACAAAACTGAGCAGTGATATTTCCTGTCTTTTGATTAGCTTGTCTGTTCAGCTCCTCCAGGAAAGTATCTGAAATATTGTTAGCACAATGCCTGGTCTACTAAAAGCTTATTTTCGGTTGGAGCTTACTGTCAAATATATATACAGTAAGTAAGTCAGACGACCCCCATACTATTTCTTGTGAAATGGGGTCATGTATATAAAAGGTGGCTTGCCAGCCCCTCCCTTGATTCACAAATGGCTGGTCATAGCCTTCGCCAATCCAGATTACACAGCATTTGAAGTCTGGAAAGACAGGCGAGCATGATGGGTGGCCCTCAGACTGCATGACTGAATCCATCTCTCAACTCTTAGTCTATGGAAACTAGTAAGAAAGGGTTTAGATTGAATGTAACAGCAGTTAATTTAAGCTGTTACAAGAGTAAATGAATGCTGGCACTAAGCCTAATGCTCTTGAGGGGATTGGAGTTCTAGCAGAGAGTGAATCCCTGCTGAAACTTGGCCTAACGCTCTTAAAAGACATGGAGGCATGGAAGCAGACCTTAAAGCATGCAGAGCTGTAGGTTTACTTGGTATTTTTAGGTTTTGCTTTTGACTTTGTACAAAACTTGGAAGAAATTAAGTTTCTGGCAAACATGATTTCCTAAGAATCACAGAAGTCACAAGGGTTTTGTTTCATGGTAGTGTGTTTTTGTCTTTTGATTTAACTTCACATTATGTTCATTATGCCTAAGAAGAAATGACTGCATTTAAATATTGTTATGCAACAATTCAGTGAAACGTAAAATCTTACAGGAAAACTACATACTTAAATATTTAAGAAAATATTTTACTAGACTTTTCATTTGCTTTTGCAAATTTTCAGCAATGCAAACATCTCTGAAGTCAACATGTAGAAAGCACCTGTTAAAAAACAGGTATGCCAACTTGCTAAATGCAATGATTTCTGCTTACAAGAGACAAGGATGAGCAAACTGAGCAGGATGAGAAAGTAAGCCTCTGAACTAACATTTTAGTGCCACAGGGGATAGTAGTTGTATTTACCAGACTGTCCATGTCATTTCTATAGGTTACGGCACTTTGCTTTCTCTCATAAACTACACTGCAGTGATACTGCATGATGTGAAACAGGACTATGTCTTCACAGCTAACGGTCTTCTAGCTACTCAGGCATGTGGTCTAGCACCCACAAATATACCAGCCCGGTTACAGATGTGAGCCACATTAGTGCAGTGGTAGCTTTGCACTCCTGCACATTGAACACACAGGGTGAGTTTACTACAGAGAAAGAACAGGTGGCTAAGGACACTTAACTTCCCCACCAGCATTGCGTGCTTGCAGTCATATGAGAATAGTTCTTCATTCACATTGCAATTTTATCTGTTCCAGTCAAGAATGTCATCTGAGGAAAGATAAATGACCTACTTATTTGTTCTTACTCAAAGAAAAACTGAAAATGCCTGGCACGGTGGTGAACTAAACCTGCCTACCTGTGTTGTGGTCGTGTGTTCAACATCAAGGGATCTGGCATTCAGAATTCAAATCTCTCAGCCATCCTTTATAGTGCTGCTGGGGTGTTGCCAGCATTCATGAAGTGCTTGTTATTGGCTGACACAGAAAGGAAAGTATTCTTGATGTGTTTGTGCAGATATTCTGTGTCAAACTAGAAGACTGGGATGGAAAATATTTTGTCTGTCTAGAGGGAAGTAGGAATAGGGGACAGGAATTTGCTGCAAGTTTTACATTTCTACAGCAGAAGTGGAATTTTGCAGTGTGTGTTTTTATATGATGATAGGATTCTGTTGCTACATTTTACAGTATCTAGGGATTAGAAAAGATTTTCCTGTGTGGGTTATTTTCTAGGTCTCTGAGGATAGGAAAAAGATTTTGCAATGTACATTAGTCTGTGGAGATGGAAACCATTCACCCTGCATGTTGCACTCTTGGGTGATTTTGCAATGAGCAGTCATTTGTGTTCCCCAGAGGTGTTTTTGAAGGGTTTGTATCATGCTAAGGACTCAGGTGACACATTCCTGAAGATGTCCCAAACACTTCACAGAATGACACTCAGTGAACAACACACGCTAATGGAAGGCTGGATAAATTCTGAGATGCCATTAGTTAGATGACTGAAATTACCATCTATGAAACTGAATTCCTGACTCTGAATTCAGGTCAGGGAAGGAAAGTGAACTAAAATTACTTTAGTGGCACTGATGGATGATCACCGTTTTTCAGTGGATAGGGGGCAAAAAGGCACACCCATGTTTCAGAGCCTTTACCACAGCATCTGTAATGTTGACAACACAGTACTGGCTGTCGTATCAGAAAGAGATGAAAGATAGTTTGCTAAAATGGACCGAGTACTTTCTGAAGGCCTTTAACCAAAGACTTAAGTAATGGGAAATTGCATGAAGCAGTTCTCTCCCCAGTCTTTTCCCACATTCACATGAAGCCACTAGACAAACTCCTCTGAAAACATGGATACTGGCACTGCCAACCTACAAGTGACATGTAGTTTCCTCTCGACTTCATGTGACAGTATGATTAATTCACTGATGGCCCAATGTTTGAACGTGATCAACTAACTAATGTTTAAGTGTGAGCAACTCAATGTAATTGAGACTTAGAGAACTTTGTTAAAACTACAGAAGTGGACAAAAATGCACTTTGAAGCATTCACAGAGAATAGCTGTCTTTGATACATGGGATTACTGCTGGTCAAGTCAATCTGTCATGCTTTCCAGTCATCATGTCTGCCATGACAGTTTCTGTAAACACTATCTTCTGTCATGTATTTCATGAGAAGCTTTACTCTGCCCTTGAAAGGGATATTTTAAACTTATTCATGCTTTTGTTGTTTCTCCTCTGAAACATATGCAGAGCAACACATCCATTCATGACATCTCCAACACTTAGAAAACCCTAACGGCAGAGCACACAGTGCCAGGTCAGCCCTGCTAGCGCAAGCTCACCAAACCTGTCTCGCTCTGTCACACTGGGCTTCTCGCAGGGTTTCAAACCCAGTCTGTGACCCATTGCTCTCGATGTACTCGGCAGTGTTTTACGGTTCTGGAAGAGTCGCATCAGTGACCAGCGTGAAGCTGAGCTCCCTGAGAGACACACGGAGAGGGCAAGGGGCACCCTCGGCCCGTTACGTGCGTTGCCACTTTTCGCTCCCTACGGCACTGGCAAGGCCTTCGGTGCTCCTTCCCCTGACACAAACAAAACGCCTGACCCCTGCCACCGCCTTCCACCTCCACCAGGAATCCGCCGGGCCAGCCCGGCCCCGGCCAGGCCCTCTCCCCTTCCCGGAGGGGCAGGGACAGCTACAGCCCCCAGGGGCCCGGGCCCGGGCCCGGACCGGCCGCGCAGGGCCTCTGCCCGTCGACCGGCCCCTCCATTGGAGCCGTTTTCAGCGAAACGCTTGAAGCGGGGGCCCTACCGCCTCCCCTCACCCCTGAGGGGACTACCCGGTCCGGGGTGAAGGGGCCGGGAGCCAGGCACGTTTACCAAAACGGGAAGGCGGCCCTGCGGCGCCGGTCAGTGCTGTGAGACCCTGCGCACCTCTGCTTGCGTTACCTCTCTGACAGCTCCGTCCCCTCCGGCTTTGCGGGCAGCTCCCCGTCCGCTGGCGGAGCGGGAACGGAACCGGGGGCGGCGGGACAGAGCCCGCCCCCCCCCCGTCCGAGCGGGCTGCGGGCCGCCCCACTGCCCGGGGCCCGGCGCCACGCATGCGCCCCGCGGCGCCGGGCGGCGGCGGAGGGGCCGGTTCCATGTCGGCGGCGCCACGGCGGCTTCCGGGAAGATGGCGGCGTGGAGAGCGGCGCTGGCGGTGGGAGGCCGCGCTCCGCTGAGGGGGCGGCTCGCCGGGCTGCGGGCTCCTTGGAGCCAGCGGCGCCCGCCTGGCTGGAGGGTGGCCGCCGCTGTCCTGGTTGGGGGATGCTCCGTGGCGGCGTGCTACAGCGGGCGGCCGGGCCTGTTCCCGACGGTGCTGGCTCAGGTAAGGCAGCGGCAGCAGCATCCCCGCTCCGGCGGCCTCGCCGGCAGGGCCGGGCGGGCCGCGGGGGGGAGCCGGGGCCTGGCGCCGGGCTCCGGGGGCGGGCGCGGAAGAGCGGGCCGGGGACCGTGGTACGCGGACTTCGTGTGCCTCGGCGCCGTGAGGCGGGACCCGGCGGCGGGAGCCCCCCTCGCCCGGGCGGGCCCGCAGGTAACGCGCGGTCCCGGCCCCCGCGGCAGCGGCCGGGATCAGCGCTGTGTCGCTTCAGCTGAGCCTGCCTCACCTCAGCGACGGGAGCTTTGCCGTCTTCTTCAGCGGAAGGAGGCAGGGGTTGCCTTCGCAGTGAGCGTTTCCCTCGTTCGCTTGACAGCCCTGGTCGTGCAATCTGATGAACCCGCGTGGTTTGCACAAGCACACGACCTGTCCTGAGCTCCTGGTTTTGCTGATAACTTCCAGAGCTTGCCTTCTTTCCATGATACCTGGTCTACACATCAGGTTCTATTACACAGTTGTGCACCTTTTTTCCACTTACAAAAGAATATTGCATGAAAGCAGTGCTTTTTCGTGCTTCGTCTGAAATGCATCACACGTAACAGGAAGATTTCCTCTTAGTATGTTCAAAATGTGTCCTATGAATGTTAAAATGTAGGTTGCTTTGGAGCATCAGTGCACACTCAGAAGGTTATGTTCAAGAACAGAGAGTCATTGTTTACAAAATAATCTTTGCAAGTTTCCAGATACAGTTATGCTTCCCAACTTTATTCTCTTCATGGAGCTAGTGAACTTTTTGCCATTCTTTCAGAGAAGAAGTTACTGTCAGTTCAAACTGGTTAGGTATTTCAAGACTGGATGATTTGAATGGTTTTTAGGCCAGCGGGTTTAGGTGGGATGTAGGCAAGAGGTCAGTATAGGCTTGCAATACCATTCTTCTACTTACGTGTAGGAAATTTTGGAAATATTCAACAGTTTGTGTGCTTTGATGTCCTGTCTCTTAACAGACACTGAACAGGCTGAACTGCAGGCAGATAAATAGCAACCCTTATTCTTGAGTCAAGAACAAAGAACAATTTTAATTTTTTTTTTTTTTTTTTATATTGCAGTTTTAATTGTGGAGAATTTTGAAGTTGCATCTTCTTAGGAAACTCCAATTTTTTTAAAATAAGCTTGTTTCTAAATAGATTAACTGTTGGTCCTGATTCTTTGGACAAACGTGTTAAAATTTTGGTTTTCTCTATACAGTTCCTAGTGAGGAAGGTGTCCATTATTCCACTAGGAATCCTACTGGAAACATACCTCCTTGTTGTAAAGAGCCAACAGAATATGCTTTTACATTTAGTTATGTGACATTTTTCAGCAGCATTGCACTATGTTTAAAAAGTCCTGTCGAGACCAATTTCATAAATGTATGGAACTCTCGTGTAAGTAGATGTGTATGTAGGTATATATAAAATATGTTAAATGCAGGAAGTAATCACTTTTAAAGGGTCTTGAGTGAAGCGATCCAGTTCTGGTGCTGATGTGCTCATGGAGTAGCTTCCAAGTAACCCATGGACAGTCCTATAAGACCACTTTAATTCTCTGGGGGAATTCCAAAAGTCTACAGCATATTTAATTGATTCATTTTTGGAGACAGTAGATTGCTGAGCTCTGCAAATGCTAGGTTGTTAATTCAATTTAAACTTCTAATTTTTCCAGTATAACTACTGTTAGAGATGCTATCATAGTTACAGACAAAAGTTCTCCCTATGTCTTGTACGCTATGTTGTTGCAATTAAGGTATTGAGCTTTTTAAAACTAGCTAAGAACTGGCCATGCAGAGCATAGCATTAAGTCCAATAAACGGAAAGTGGAACTGGATTGTAAAAGCTATGAGTGATAGAGAAATAGAGACAAAGTAGCGTGCTGTGAGTCTTTTAAGCAGTTCAGATGCTACTTGTGGCTTCTTACTGACAGAAATAGGAAATAAAAGCAAAATGGTTTTGAAACAAGTACACCACCTTTAGTTTATGTTTTGAAGCAATCTTTTTTCAGTTCAGACTTTGTGCAGTCCTGTTAAACGGAGGTGCTTTTCACATTCTAGCAGTGGATAACTTTACTTTCTGTTATTATTCCTTTTCATTATAACTGATATTAAGCATCATTGGTTGAGATTGTGCTGGTGAACAATTCTGAACTGTTTGTTTATCTTTCAGTATGTTATGTAGTGGAAGTGTTTGCATCATAGGTATGTGAAATATTGTAGGTTAAGGCAACTATTTGAAATTAAACAGCATAATTCTCATTATCATTGTGGTATTGAAGGAGTATGTAGTGGAAATGTTTATACTTTTGCTTCATCAACCAGGCCTAGAATTTGCTCTTGAGAATGCAGTGAGGTTATGCTACAGTGCTTCCCATTTTTCCATGGTAATATAGTCTTTACTATTGAAGCATAAGAATGGATTGCTGCAAAATGGGTGGCAATTATTTAAAATAGTTGACAGAGTGAAGCTGACAAAGTGACAATGTATCTCCATACTGTAGAGAGCCAGCAGAATAGGATTTTATGTTTAGGTATGTGGTGGTTTTCAGCAGCATCGAATTATGTTTACAAAGTCCTGTTGTTAAGACCAATTTCATATATGTACAGGACTCTGGTGTAAGCATAATTTGAGCCACTGGGTAAGTTCTTATTCTTGTCCTAAGTGGGATGTAACAACCATTAATAGCTTTGTTGTAGAATCAAATTCTTCTTTGTAAATACTTGCCATTCATTTAGTTTAAGTAGTTGAAGCTGAGAACTATTTAGATTTTCCATGAGTCTCAATAAAACTAGTCTTTATCAAACTAGTCAGAAATTTTTCAGCTATACATCGTTCTAGACAACTTCAGAGATGCAGTCTACTGTTGAAGCTGTCAAAAAACACATAGAAGCTAAAGTTCTATAAATTTGGTATTTCTTTTTTTTTCCTTCTAAAGCTTTTCTTTATTTTAAAATCAAAGAGTGATACCTTTGATGCTTAGTTTCTTAAATCTTTATTTAATTCCAGTCCTCACATGCTGCTGCAGTGGATTTAGTGCTGCTTATATTGGTTGTTGACACTTCTGACTTTTGCTCAGAGTGAATGAAAGCCAACCAGTCTACAAGTCTTTGCAGAATCAAAGGTCCTGCAGGGTCAATTAATCTGTTTTCCTTTTGTGAGTTGTGTGGACAGTGTCTGGTTTATTTTGTAGTGGCTTATGTTTGTTTACTGTGTTCTAATATAATTGTTGTTTATTCTAGTAATAAAATTTCTGTTTGAGAGTTTTTTAAAACTTTTTTTGGACCAGTTTTAATCAGCATTTTGCATTTTCACTGCCACTTAGCTGTTCTGACAGCTTACACTAAGTGGGTAGCATATTAATAATAAAACTTGCTATATTTAGTGTAAGATTACATCAGGTGTAATCTTTCATACTAACTGTCTGAATATAGCTTCAGTAAGTGATTTATGCAGTTATTTTAATTCTCTATCTTCATTTGCTGATTGTAAATCTCTACTGTATAAAGATTTTTATAGAAAAATTAACATAGTCTTTCTGACATTTGTTGTAGATACCAGGTTTTAGTTCTTCCTGCACTTGTTATTTACCAGTGAAGCTACACTGACAGTATCCTAGACCAGATATAGCCTGTGCTAGGGAAAACTAGATCTAAATGAAATTAGCTAGTCAGGTTTCATAAAGGGGGGAAAAAGAAAGGAGGGGAGGGGCAGTAAGAGCTTTCACTCTACCAGTGTTACTTAGAACGAGGATTTATGCTGAATTTCACTAAAAGTATTTCTTCTGCTATCCTAACCAATACAGCTGGATCAAAAACGTACACACTGCAGTGACACTAAACAGGCTGCTTTGCTTCTTTAGTAGTGTAATTCAAATGACATAATGGTATATGGTTTGTAACCTTGATCAGATTTGCAGTATTGTCTACTGTGTCTTAATCATCTCAGAGCTTGCAGTTTGCAATACTAAAGTGGCCCTGTATGGCCTAAAGCTGTTGGAATTCTCTGGTTAAAGTGTGCTGTTTATCGCGAGTCAGCTTTGCAGTCAGTTAGGTTGCCTTTATCAGGGTCAAGACTCGAGTACGCTATTGCCAAAGAGCGTGCACGTGAATTTGGAGTGGTACACATTGGGAGGCTGTAGAATTTTGTGAGGCAATGACTCCTGCCTCCCCACTCCAACTAAATTTGGAATTTGCCAAGGGACCACAGCATTGATCTCATATGTGCATGAGCTGCAAATGCTAAGAAAACTCTGAGAAGCATCAGGCAGCCAGAGGCAGCTTCTCCTGCCCCTGCTGAGTTTTTTATGGATGTGTTTAGTCACTAGCTTCAGAAGGAAGAATATAATTTGATTCTCCCTTGAAAAGTTGCCATCCCTGCAGAGTGTCATGTTTTGTGTTGAGTCTAGGTCACTGTTTTCCAAATGAGACTGACTGGAGTTGTTACTAGCACATATATGAAGTGTATGTGTGCAGTCTTGTCTGTTTGCTGATAAATGTGATTTTGTTTCAGCATTCTTTCTCTAGTGTTGTGAGAGCATTAGTTGGTACTTAAATATTTGATACTGCTTACCTGAAGTAAGGAGGAAAACACAATTTACTACCAGTATTTTTTTTTGTCTGTTCTTGTTAATACTTTCTGCTACATCATGGTAGTCTAATTGGTTCTCTTTATCTTACCTTTTCTACTAATCCTTGTGTTGCATCAGCAATGTGCTATAATTCTTCCAGATAAGAAGAGACTCTATTCCTGTCCTGAAGATCTTAAACAAATACATATGTTGCATTTAATCATACGGAAAATACTAAAATAATGCTTATAATAATGGTTAACAGACCATATGTGCAATTTTCATTTTTTTAATGTCTGATATTTCTGAAATTCTTACTTTATTTAAAATGTGTTTATTAAAACAGTCCTCTTTTGGGTTGTGTTAAATTTTTCATTTCACTTTAAGCTGTGTTGAATATTTCACCATTTTCC